CTTACTTCTGGGACACTCTGTATATCCATAGTTTTATTGTTGTTCGAAAGATATTTGCACTTCCTTTATATACCCTTAGTATGGAAACTTCTAGAACTTTCCTGAGTGTTCTAGGAAGTTACGAAAAAAAACGACAAAAATTTCTTACCAACCGAATATATCGGTTAATAATTCAACAAGCCCTACAAACTGGTATGACTAGAATTTAAAAAGCGATTTATCAGTTCGTGGTGTTCTCTTGTTAGCCAGCACACCATCGGATGAATAATTCGAGACAAATAGTTGTTAGTGATTTGTCCAGGATCATTCCATGGCTAGTGATACCGAGATTTAAGCACAGTTTCTATTTAATATATGCTGAACAACATAAGCACTCATCCATGACAACTTAGATGCAATTGAGACTTTAAAAGGATCGTAGTTTGAATATGTTCTTTGACGTGGAGATTAGTCGCTCCGAAGGTACGAGAAATTTTTTTTTCGATTATTTATATTCAGTGACTAGTACTTCTCAGGCAATCTTGTAAGAATAAAGCTGTAATTGGTCCATGCTATCAAAGTGAGCATTTCTCGGATCGGTCCTGGACCTGACCCTATGCAATAGGCTCCACCCTTCGGAACGAAATATCTAGATACAGTCCTGAAAAAAGAAAGATCTATCTTCTTTACTTGTGTAGAATTATTATTATGTATAAAATTAAGTTTAAATTTAAATTTATCAGCATTTGTTAATATAGATTCTAACTGTAAATCATTTAAACATTGTTTAAAAATTTCATTTGTATCATTTTCAATAGCATTTGTAGATGTTTCAATATTTAATAATAATTGACTTGTACGATTAACAAATAATGAAAAAAGTTTACCATGTTCAATTAAATAAAATCCTCGTATTTGTTCAAGTTCATTACATAAATGAAAATGATCAACAAATAAATTTCTTAATGTTAATGATAAATCAATTCTTGTATGTTCAATAATACGTTCTAATTCAAATATATTAAAATCATCAGAAAGTGTTAATGTATACAATTGTTGTTGTATACGATGATTTTGTTCATTATAATCAATTGAATTTATTGATAAAAAATTTTTATCATTATCCTCATCATTTGTTTTTAATATAAGCCATGATTCACCAATAAATAAAATTTTATCAGCTAATTGAAGTGGAATATATGATGAAAGCATATCAGGTATTAAGTGATAATGACTATAACTAGGTGTTATTGTAGGATTTTGTTGAGGCATCTAAAAGAAAAAAAACAATGAATCAAATCGAAAAATTGCGAGAGCTATTTATATTCTGTAAGACAAGTAGGGACTTGCAGCTTCCTAAAGACGAGTGTTTGTTAGTGGAACTTTTATTTCACCAAAAAGTTGAGGTCCTGCAGGAAAGTTTATCTCACTTGCGCTCATATCCTCTTAGGCCTTTTCTAGTTTATACATCTACCTATGGACAAAATTTGAGTTCAAAAGCTTTTTAGTACCTGGAGAGAGGTTTCCTTGTGAGATAAAGTTAATAATGGTATAATCCTACGACATTCTTTTCTAACAAAATTTTTGAAATAGATCTAAACTGCACAGCCTCATTTGACTCAAATACTCATAACAAAAGTGTTAGGTCAACGCTAGTGATGATGTTATAATAGAATATAAAGGGGTCTTACCTTGATGGCCAAAGGTAACGTGATCAGCTAAGAAGGAGATGTGAGATCATTTCAACTGGATAATTTATTTCATGAAGACAAAATAACACACACACACAGGAGAGGTAGTAATAAATGCTACTGCTCTGCATCGAAACAAAATAGCAACTGAACGATATCAAAATCAGAAAAAATTCTAACGAGAGAGATAGACAGAACGAAAAAGAGAAATCTTACTATTGAACGAACGAAAGAGAAAAATCCAATTAACTACTGAACGAAAAGGAAGACGCCGACAAATGAGAAAATAAGATGAAACCAATTGAACTTCGTTCAATAAAGTTAGCGTTGACATAGTGTCATCTGTTGACGCTAACATTATCGACCTGCCAGTTTATCGAGTTTTTTTCCTCTTATATTATTAATAATGTTAGTTAATGCCAGAAAAAAGACCCTATGTAATATTCGGTTTTAGCAAACACAAGATAAACATCTATGCCAAAAATAAAACGAGACTTGTTACATCAGACAGATTTTTTTTTATCTCTTGATATTCACTGAAGATTGTTGTACTTTGGATCAATACCTTACAGAATTCTGATGCTTTTTGAAACAATCGTCTTCGAAAAATACCTGAGAAATGCTAATTGAGTAGTCTCTTTGAACTTATGATTCTTACATATATTAAAGTTCCAAAATGTGGTTTACATAAGAGAAAAACCACATATAAATATCTTTTTCACATTCATGAATTATTTAAAAATGAAAAAAAAACGCTGAAAAAAGACTTTTTGTAGTCAGGATGAAAATATTAAAATGGTTAACCATTCGGCTTCAAGTGGCAGTATATTTGTTCAACAACATATTAAAATGCAAATGTCATTTTCACTCGAAAAGTAAACATAAAGAATGACTAAAAATGTCTTCCTAAACCTAAATTCTGCTTTCATATAACGTTGGTGATCCGTTTTAATATTGCATAGCTGAGAATAAACCAAAATAAATGGAAAATTTTGAATTATTTCTTAATCAAAATTATGTTAGCAATCTACTGTTTTTAAATTAAAGTAATTTTTGTACATATTAATATATCACTAATCAATTTTTATTTGAAAGAAACAAATCGAGTAATTTTCCAAGAGTCAAACAAAAATGATAGAAGGACTTCAAACTAGTTCTTATAAAAGCTGGTAAATTTGCTTGGAAACTAAGCATGAAAACATCGACAAATAACGATTGGAGGAAGTGTAAATAAATTGGTTAAATCTAAAAATTAGATAAATTTATCTTTATTTCTAAAAGATACTTGTTTACTGTTAATCAATGAGTGAAAACCAACTCAATATCTACGAAGCTTTTGGACAATATTCTATATTGTTACAAATAAACTATTTCAAACCACTTTTGTTGGGCTAAGATAAGGATATTAAATTATAATTTGACATATATCCAAACTCAATTTACAAAACAATAATATCATCCGCATTTTCTCATAAACCGAACTTTTAATACCTAAGAAATCATTATAGTATGAGTGGCATTGTTCATGACTTAAGACATAACATCAGTTTTATAAAAGTAGATGTTTATCTGTATTGATACATGAGATCAGATTGAAACTCAAAGTATCATCGCAATACAAATATATATGTATGTCGGAGTTGACTTTAAAATTCAGTTGCCTTTAAAAGGCAACTAGCAGTTTTCCTAGTTGACTCTAAAATATTTTAAAGTCAACTAGTTGTGTTTTAAAGGTAACGAATTTTAAAGTCAACTCCGACATATATATAATACAAAAAACTAATTGTTGCACACGAAATTTTTCACGATTGAAAGATGTTTAATACAGCTTTTGAAAATGACTTCTTTTGCAAACAATCTGACACGAAAAATTCTTCCAGAATGAAAATAATTCTTTGTACAAGCGAATTCTATTTATGAGGTAATGAAATTCAAGTTTTGCAATATTTTAAGCTGTTTATATAGAATGATTTAATAAATATTATTCACAATTCTCCGTAAAAAGATTGACTAAATATGTTCAAGATAAATAATATACAAATCTTAATATAAATATTTACAAAATTAACCAATGAATAACCCCCCATATTTAACATTTTTTTAAATTTTAGATAATCTAATTTACTATATAAAATCCAGAAAAGAACTAATAACTCCTTTATTTCAGCTGCTAATTTTGATATACTCTCCAACAATACATTAAATATTTACTCAAATGAGGAAACCATTGATTCTTTTAGAAATATTCCTCCTAATAGATCGTTATCGGCATAGCGGTAGAAAATCGCCTGTTCCTTCATGTAACTGCTAAGCGAACACATTCATAATATTTGTTGAGAATTCTCTATAAACATAAAAGTAAAATATAAAACTGTTGTTTTGTCATTCTAATTCGATTAATATCTCGTTGCTGAAATAAAAATATTCTATGGCTTATTACTGTTGAATAAACATACATGTGTGTCACATTTGCTAAATCATTCCCACTAAAAATTACCAACTTATAATTAATTATAAAAATATTCATTTCAAGTAAAGAATTCAACCGCCTTCACACTGAAATCGATCATTTTTTCGTTTTTTTTCTTTTGTCTTACAATTAATAAAAGAGAGTTTGGAAAGAAAATACGATATATTATATAATATTACTCTATTGTGCAAAATATGATAATTTAATTAATAGAAAAAATCATGCTTATCAAAATAACAGTTAATTAAAATTGGTAGTTACTACAAGTAACGCTCGTCGCTACTACTCGCTTGACCCTCGACTGAAGCTCATCTTATGCATTTTGAGAACTATTTTGAACTAAATCGTCCACATCTGTGATGTGACAAATATTGCCATACCATTTGATTATAACTAATTCATTATTTTTTCGAAATAATATTTATTGTTGAAACTTTAGCATTCATTGCTCATCGTGCATATTTAAAGGATCAGAAAAGTTTAGGATTTTTGCCTCGATCGATTAATTTTACACCCATATCTGTGAAATATTTCATGAGCAACAGATCACTACCTGCTAGTTGTTGACATTCTGCTCATGGATTCGTTTCGATACATACACAAATAAAGAATTTACATATAATAAGAGACGTTGCCGTACATCTCGTAGGAAATTATTCGATGTACCGAAAAGAAATTCCCGATGAGTATGTCAATGAGAAGGCTTCGTCGTTACTTATCAGTTATAACTTCAATTTCTTGATCTTTCGAAATTTGCTGCATCATATCAAAATTTCTGCATATCTCAATCTTAACAAAGTTTTCTCTATATACATGTGAAATATACTGTAGATCGTTCTCGAAAATGAGTCTCAAAAATCGACGACTAGTCGTTCGCCGGCGCTCCTCCTGGGTACCACTCACGGCTAGTCGGTACAATGTTTACATCTCGTACCAACTAATCAACTTCGGTTGCAATCTAACTAACTCTCATGGGACACTCTACGAGAGTCTATTTTATTACAACAGAAAAAAA